TTGAACTTACTGTTTGAATTCGTTTACTGGATCCTTGGACTTTGCAGGTCCAGAGTTTACCGGTTTAAAATGATGTGATCGCAAAAGCCTGATTCTTTTCATTTTAAGATATTATTTTCATTATAAAGTACTGATTCAAATTAGTAATCACTAATTAATTATTATTCTACTCCTCTGGGCGCCTCCCCTGACATGCTCTCGCGCCCCACACACTCCACTTGCATTCATTTATGTGATTGGTCTAGATTAGAGGTGATCCCGCCTGGGCAGTGTGATTTATATAGTGTCCTTTTTAATCATATTATGGGATCATATAATCACCCAGACCCTGACGCTTTTACTCTGAGTACCGCCAACGTGTCAGAAGTGGCGGTACGCACAAAAAAGTGCAGGTAGCCTACTCTAAAGCCTAAAATATAGAAGTGCCGGGAACTGCATACCGGTGCGTACCGGCCCACTTCAAGCACTGGTTCAGTCCTATGGTAAGTGATCTCTTTTGTTTTAAATCTTATGTGAAGTTTCCCCATGAAATAAGGTAGACCCCTTTTTCTGCCTCCTTTCAAATTTCAATAAACTGTAAGTGTACATCTTTCTTTAACCATTATACATAAGGTCTATAAGTGCATTGCTAACTTTATAATTACTATAACAGCACAATTGAGTTAACCAATTCACTATGCAATCTGATTTATAACTCGGACTTAAAACTAATGGAAACTAACTGGACAATTAACGCTGTTTTAAAGCAGCCGAGTTACTAACTTGTTTGTGGTGTCATGTATTATTGACTAAAGTCATTGTTTTATTCTGCAGAGTGCAGACCCACAGATTGCCAATAACAATAATAATAATAATAATAATAATACATTTTATTTGTAATGCACCTTTCTCAAACTCAAAGTGCTCCAAAAATACATATGAAAAATAGATTCGCAATAATAAATCTTAAATTATAAACTTTACTAAAAAGATGTGTCTTAAGAAGTTTCTTAAAACAAATCAAGGAAGCAGCTTTCCTAATAAACATTAGAGGAGAAGCCCCCCCCCATGGTTTTTTATTTACAATGAGGCTGATAAAGAGGGAGACAACCAGCAGAGCGGAGAGAGCGAGAGGGAGTGGAAAGAGTAACCAAGTCACAAATGTAATCTGGAGCCAAATTTCCCTTTTCACACATGGCCATGTAGTTTTGGATTTTATTTTCCCTTAATAATAAAAACCTTCATTTAAAAACTGCATGTTGTGTTCACTTGTGTTATCTTTTACTAATATTTAAATTTGTTTGATGATCTGAAACATTCAAGTGTGACAAACATGCAAAAAAATAAGAAATCAGGAAGGGGGCCAACACTTTTTCGCACCACTGTACATCAGACTTGCATTGAGACTTAAGTTCTATATTCCAAGTATAATTATACGGAGATCTCCCCATTTGTTTCAGTCTATTTTGCAAATGCTCTCATTCAGTCATGGTGTCTGGTATCAAGACATGGATTGATTGTGTTTGGTGTCACTGTCATCAAATCTAACGTTATGCATACAATTTGAAGCTTTTTCGGGAAGCCATTTTACATTTGTCTTCTTGTTTTGTATAGTTTTCTATTGACTCTGTTTGATCCTCTTCATCATGCTGTTCTTTCAAAGGCCTCGAACACCCAGAGTCACATCAGGAGAGCACAGCAGATCCCACAGACACTCACTCTTTCATTATGTCTGGAAATTCAGTTTACCAGCCATCAGGTAATGACATCTTTCTCTCATTAAAGTGGTCATATTATGAGGAATCAAATTTTTGTTTTGTTCACATAAGAGTTGTTAATATAGGCCTACTATGAAAACAAACTGTAGTTTCACAACTTAAAACTTCCTCTGTATTCCAAAAACTAAATTTTTGGTGTCTACATTTAGAAGGTGAGATAGCCTTCTAATCATGCTGAGCTAATATGGAGGAAGTTGGACAAATATTAAATTCATCACAACACTGATGCATAGAATGATTCAGAGAGATTATTCTGCTGTGTCAAAGCTAAAAATACATTAAAGTTTTATGACAAAGAGCTTGTTCATCAAGGTCAACGCGTTTAATGCCTTTGTATTGCATTACAGATGTTTTAGTCAATAAACAACAGAAACAGGGAAATCCAGAGGAAAATGAGGTATGTTTGAACAATGTCACACACCAAATACATAACTGTCCATCATGAACAGAATACAAACACATTTACTTGTGTCTTAATAATCTTTTTTCTTCCTTAAGAATGTTTATCTCCTGTACTCCATGATCCCTGACAAACCAGTTCACTCAAACGCAGAAGATCACGTGTACAGTTTGGTGAAGATGCACTGACAAATCCCATGTCTGTGTTCATTATCTATTGCGACTATAAATAAAGTGTATTTACTTTCAGACAAAAACAGTAGGTGTTTATTTTTTTATTATTCAGTGTTTGGTGTGGAATATACTGTGACCTCAGTGAATATCCAGAGCATCTTCTCTGGCAAACCCACTAGTACAGTACCACTAGTGGAGCTTGGGCATTCAATAAGAGCTGAACTAAAATTGTAATGATAAATGAAATATTTTACTTCTTTGCTAAAGAAATTGAACCATCTGAAGGTTTGAACCAAATGTTTTTTTTCTTATAAGTTTGTTGTATTTAAAAACGGCTTAAATCAGTTTTTTCAAGGTCCATCATGTGACGTTAGCTTCTCCTCCCACAAAATCCAGCCGATTACATCAGAGATGGAAGAGAGAATAATGATTCACATCCTGTTTTTAGTAAATCATTCATTCCAGTGTGTATTCAGCCCTTTTTATGTTATGATTGTTTCCAAGAACCATCATCCTTCCTACATGATGCTATATGCAATACAGACTGAACGGCAGGTCAAAACATCCAATGGGGCCTGACATTATGATAGCACTGCAACTCTTGGTTCAGTGAGGTGTCTCACTAAAGTTAGTAATAAAAAAGTAATCAAGTAGTATTTATGCACATTTGGGCATCAGACACTCTAAGCAAAAGACACAAGCACTCACTGTCATCACTGATGCTGCTGCTTTTTCTGTACATTTACAATATATATATATATATATATATATATATATATATTTTGTTGTGTTAGTAA